AGGGAGTCACGTTCGAACAAATGGTGGTAATTTAATAAAGATGAAATTTTAATGCGTAATGTAAAAATTAAAAGGTGTGTGAAGAACAGTTCTCGAAAGCCGGTGGAATGTACGGCACGAAGAAAAACTTAAATGGGAAAACTGCCAAGGTCGCTCCGAAAAATGTTCATAGAAAATGAGGGGTGATCGGGACAACGGCACACAACAAAGCGAACAAATGCCCACGGAAAGCAATGACACAGTTGAAGTTGTAACACCCCACGACTGGCATCGAGTTGTTTGAATGAAGGAACAATTTTGACGTGCGGACCTGGGTTGGTGATGGTGTAACTGCGTGTCGGTGAAAACAGCCGGTACCCTTTCACCGCTCCACCGCTGACCCCCTCCCCGCGACTTTGCATCGCACGATCTCTCTCTCTCAACGTTGGCAACTCACTCGGTCCTCCGCTGCAGTTGCCCACAGCGCTGCGTTCCCCACCGGATATTTAGATGACATGTTGGTGTCGCCTCTCCACCCAGACAGGCTACTCCCCTGCTGTGATTCGTCCTATTTGTAAAATTAACTACTATTATATGTCTTTCCAGTTCTATTTCTTCCCATTATACCTTATCGCCTACTTGACGTTCCTTCTTCTCTAACGTAAGGATGAGTATCGCGACATGCTAACAACTCTATTCAGATCGATCTTAGCTAGGATATCTTCCCAGACATTTACTACCTGGGTATGTGCTACCCTTAACGTCCTCGGCCGCTACGACGTAATGTAAATATGTCATGGAATTTTTAGTTTAAAAAAGGCTACTCAAAACGAAGTAGTAGCCCATGATACCGTGAAGTCAGTTGTTGAGGGGAACAGAGATTTCTAAGTGATTGCGCAACCCGAAGAGTTTCAAAAGCGGCTGCATACAATCCTGTTGAATAAATATTCTAAATAATTCATTTGCAGGCCCTAAGCAAGCACACCGCGCAGAAAAGGGGGACGCAGTTGCGTAAACCCCCAGCGTTTACCAAAGTACAGGAGGTAATCGATTTTCCTCTCCGTGTGCAGTATTTGCAAGAATAAAGACTGCTTACATCGAGGGTAATATGCCATTGTCGCAGACCAATGGCATTGCAAGTATTACGACAATATACGGATGGATGTATGTTTAGGCATGCCAGCATACCCAAGTATAAGTGGTTTTAAATGCAGTCGATGTGGAATAAATATTTATAGGCGGCGACTACGGGCATATTTTACAGGTTCTTGAATGAGTGCAGTAGAAGAACCCAGCAAGACCTGGATTTGTCACACTCCAAAACAGCTTGGAATGGATGCATCTGAACAATTTGGATTGCGGTAAAAGAACTCTTTTTACGCTAGACATCCGGTGTTCAGAGTAGGCCGAGATACCGATTTGGACTGGGGCGGTGCTTCCCTGGCTGTTCTCAAAGGAACTGGAGTCATTAGGTGTACGAATTCCGCGGGTATAAACCGCACCACAGTAGTGGAATGGTACAGAATTTGGCGGTGTGCTTGAAAGCACTTCTAAACAACGTGAATGTAAAGGACGGCGAAATGGCTGTTCTATTAGCCAAAGTCTTCCTAAACAGGATGATTCCTGTATGGACAAATGAAAGAAAAATTTTCTTCTAATGACATAAAGCCGTTTTCTTGCCAATCCTTAGATAAATAAACAAAAAGTATGCATTTTTCCTATCTGGACATACTGTGCGTTAGTAATCAGAAAAGTGAATTTTCTCAGATATTTTCCACGAAAACTACTGCAAAAAGACATTTAATTTGTTTTGTATTCGGATGCAAAAATTCATTTCTCGCTTAGATAAGCCAGGTGTATTAGCTGGTTAATGCGGAACCGCAGATATTATCCTGATTGGAGGAGGCAATGCTTTCGAAGACTCTATTGGAAACAGAAAAGTTGGGAATAAAATTCATATGATCACGCTACTAAGATGCACTGATTAGCACAGTAATTAGACACAAAAGTACTGGGGTGTGGAACTGGAACGCGGACCCTATTGTTGCTTTTTAATTTCATCAGAAATTAACTGCTAACTGGAGTAGATCAGTTTGAACAAAGACCTATAAACGAAGACCAAAATTTGGGGTATGAATACTTTAGTCGATGCCCATCAGCCACAGCGGGATGACCGCGTGCATTCAGTGACTGCCGACAGACACGCGTTTCGCCGATATTCTGCCATTACACGGCGCCGCGGCCATCGCAACCGGACTCTCAGCTTACCGGTCGGCAACTCCACACAAACGCATACTGGGCCGATTGAGAGGTCCGAGTTATTCGGAGAGGTGACAACCTTCCAAGCCACGACTAATAGCACACCGTGATAGTCTTAGGTTCGGATAACAGAGGGGCCACATGGAGAAAGAGCCAAGAAGCGTACTTTCCACTTAGGTGAGAGGTGCCAGTAACGTGCCTGCGTTATGTGGCGATGTTGATGTGCGTTGTAGGTGCTAGTGAGGAGAGACTTGATGGTATGCTATAGCAGGCAATGGTCTGCTGCAGGTTTTCATGAATGCGCATGTGGCCTAGTAGGCTCATGCGATGGCTGAATGCGCGAAGGCAATGTAGGCAGTTAAAGCGATGGAGCCTGGTGTATGTTGGTGTTCCAGGCACCGGTCCGCCAGTCTCCGAACGATGGATTCGCAAGTGACCAACCAGGCTGATGTGTGAATTAAATGTGTATCTGCTATGAGAACAGGTTGGGACCGATTCCACATCGCTGGAAGTGGGGATAGTGATGCTGAATGTGCTGGTGATTAATGGGACGTCAGAAGCGTCTCGGTCGGTTGGGGGGGATGGAAGAGGTGGTTGTGTTCGTCGTCACCACAGCTATTGAGGCAGAGGTGATGGAGGTGGCGGTGGTCGATGGCGGTAGCGCAGGAGGATTCGGAGTAACGGTGGTAGCACGGGAGTGGCGCCGTCGTGTTCGGTGTAGGGACTGGAGCAGGGCGTTTGTGGAAGTTGGAGCGGGCGCAGTCGTGGAGGCAGAAGTTGTGACTGTCAGGCGGTTGGTGCATTGGATCCGATGATCACCAATAAGGCCGATCCGCACGTGGAATGTTCGTTGATACCTGGGGCATGTTTGGTTGGGTTGAGTGGCAATGTTGAGTGTCGAAGGCGCCTGAAACTTGCAAGCAGCTTTGGTGACAGCGATCTGCTTTGCTTCGCAGATTGGTTGCGCCAGTCTTCACATCTTTCCTCAAGGCAGTGGTCCCCACCGGTCTCTGGGTTGATAAGCAAACGCTTGAGAGGATTATTTGAAGTATCCGTATAGCGTCGTTTTGGCCCTAGCGGTCGACGAGCACCCGTGCCAACATCTACGTGGAAGAATTGTTTAAGTAAACCCGCGTCGTCTGTCCCCACAAAGCGGCCTCTCTGTTGCAGCTAGAGTTATCTCAGCATGGCCTGGATGCTGGGGATTCCGGTTCTTCCGGAACTTTCGTGTCCGGGATTCTGTCCTGCCATCACAGCCTCGGTATTCTGCCACAGCAGATGAAATACGAGTAAGTGAACTTCCGGACGTTTAGAAAAAACTCAATTCTGTATGATTTTCCATGGTCCCTCGCGATCCATCGTATCGAGTGCTTTTGTCAAATCCACCAAGGTAGTGTATAGGTGCGTTCAAATTTCCTGAAACTTCTCCTGTAGCTGGCCAGCGACGAAGGCCATGTCGGTGGTCCAGCAGCGTTGTCGAAACCTACTTTGAGTTATCCGCTGTTGTTCTTGCTCGAGGTGACCGTTGAGACGATTGGGGAGAAGGCGAGCGAAGATCTTGTCAGGGATATTGAGTAACGGGGTGTCTCTGTGGTTATCACAGAGTTGCCGGTTCTTTTGCGCTCCTCGAAGTCCTGAGGAATCTGTCCTTGTCACCAAATCTTCTGGAAAAGCGTTGTAAAATTGTTCATTAGTCGGTGACCGCCGTGCCTACTTATTTTAACTGAGATCGCATCGAAGCCTGGTGCTTTCCTTCCGAAGTGTTTTTTCACGACGCGAATGGTTTCTGGGAGGGAGGGCGGGAGATCCAGGCGGATTTTGATTCCCACTTAAGGGAGCCACTCAACGGCAGCGTCAGACACTGTGGAAGGCGGTTGAGAACGCTGCTGATGTGCTCGATCCAGCGCTTCAGACTCTGCCACTTCCTTGTTAGAAGCATTGATCCATCCGAGCTGAGAAGCGGCGCGGTTCCTTTCCTTGGGGGACCGTAAATCGCCTTGGTCTCAGCGAGAACGTTTTTCGTTTCATTGCGGTCTACATACCTCTTGATCTTCTCGGTCAATTGAGTCATCCAGGCGTGCAGCATCTCTCGACATCGTCGCTGAGCAAGACGGCCTCATTGCAAGAAGACCGCCTTGTTTGCATGGGATGGGTGGCCAATGGAGGCTGTATACGGGTTGTTTTTTTCGGCGTGCAGGTTGTTGAGGTCTGCGTCGTTTTTGTCGAACCAATCCTAGTGTTGACGGCGTAAGCAGCCAAGGACTCCAAACACGGTCGAATGGACGGCGTCCCGCAGTTGGCATCATCGAGACTCTACGGTGATGTTGACGTCAGGGGCTGACACGTCTCCCATGTGTTGATCCAACCGATTGCTGAAATGTTAACGGCGAACAGGGAAATTCAAAATGACGGTATTCAGCTAGCCTGTTGGTCGCCTAACTTGTGGCCTCGTGTGGGGTTACAGTCGGAGCCTCACCTTGGAGACGTGAGGCAGTGGTCCGTCCAGTCATCAGTGTCGCAGATCGCCTTGGACACCAGCACTTCCCGTCGGTCACGTCGCCGCACGAGAACATAGTCCAGCAGTTGCCGGCGCCGCGATCGTGGAGGTATCTAGGCGATTTTCTGCGCAGATTCGCAGGAGAAGGAGACCGTTGTCGTTGCAGCCGTCGTGGGGACCAAGCAGCGTGGTCTGTCTCGACGCGGGAGTTGGAGTCACCAAGAGCAACAAGCTTGTACGCCATCGACACAGACTCCAAGAGTGCATGCAGGTCCTCGTAGAACTCGATCTTCGTCCCGTCAGAGCCGGTCACTGGTGGGACGTAGGCCCTGATGATGATGACGAATATGATGATGATGATGATGATGATGATGACGATGATGATGATGATGATGATGATGATGATGATGATGATGAT